ATTGTACACAGTAGAGCCCGAAGTGACACAGGTCTAAGATGTTTCCCACTTTAGTTAAATTGGTACTGGTCTGACGCTCCAAGGGACATAATCAAGATGATTGTAGGATTTAAACCCACAACCATCAGATCCTCATATGCCAAAGGGACATTATTCTGCACAGCAAATTGTGGTTCCTTAGACAAGTGGGTCATCTGTCAACCCCACACAACAATAACAGGTAGTTGGGTAGCCTAGTGGTCAAAGCGCTCACTCATCATGCCAAAGACTGGGGTTCGATTCCCCATGATTACAATGGATGAAGCCCATTTCTGCTGCAATATTACTTAAAGTTGGTGAAACCATACTCACTCACTAACTCACAACACTAAACACATCACAATCAAATTTACAGCAATGTTATATACATATAATATATACCGTATTCGACATAATAAGCGCTCTGAAAAGCGCCAACGGCTAATGTTTGCTAATATAATGGCTGGTGAACAATCCCAATTGGCACCCCTTTGGATTGATCAATGTTGACAAGACTTATTTATTTGTGTATAATACACACTGGTGTGTTATATGCACCCTAATTTACAGGCAATAAAATTCTGAAAAAATATGTTTGTCGTGTATAATAGACTTTTGTATCATTTCAGGCTGTCACCATAAACCACGAAATTTGGAGATCTTTCAACTCCACCAAATTTTGTTTTTTTCCACCAAAATTATTATCTAATAAGAGCCCCCAATTTCTAATTTTTAGAGCGCCCTGGGAGCTTATTACATCGAATACGGTACGTCTAAACATACAGACTACTCCACTTTTTGGACATTTTTATAATATCATACAGATAACTGATTCTCATACTATAGCAAGTATATATTTAAATATATGACATAACTGATTATCCCTATCTAAAGCTGAATAGTATATATATAAATACCCTGTGTAAGTTTGTCTCGACTGCACAAACAACCAATCACATTACATGACATTAACATATTGAACCACTGTGGACCCAATCCTTCAACCGAGGGATTTTGGAATATTGAAACCTTCGTGTATCAAGACATATTTCCAATGAATAACTGTCTAGTCAGTATTATAAACCCAAGGCACAAGAGGTTGACTTCCACACTCTGTCCTGTCACTTTCAGACAAATATATCAAAACATTTTAAGCAAAATAAAAGGTGAAAGTCAAGGGTCATTATTTTAATGTGATTTTCTAACACTGAAATATACTCCTCAAAAGATGTTAAGGACCACTCAATTCTTACATTTTACTATAGTTAATCTATAACTATAACTAAAGTAATATTAAAGAAGTGATGATCCTTAACTTATTTAGAGTAGTATACTATCACTTTTAACTTGCAAATGAAACTGCTGATATTAAATAGTTAAAGAAATATATTTATCCTATAATGTTTGGCATTGAGACTTGCATAGTAAGTTGTGATAACCTATTATTTCCTATTGGAAATAGCAGCATTGTTACTGACGAACCCTGCAAGGGGCTAATTGATTTATTTCAGTCATATCAAATAGCTTGTCCTTTATACATGACAATTGTGACATAATAAAAAAATTGTTTTTGTTAATATCAGACAAAGAGTCCCAAACTATTTGACCTCTTTCTTTGGGATTAATAACCGTGAAAAAGCAGTTTGAATGTGTTTCCATGGTAACGGCATGGATCTGTTAGTAGGTGAATCAATGATATATTGAAACAATACAACATGCCCAGAATCAGAAATATTTTGGTGAAGTACCAGATCCTGTCTGATAATTATCCATAAAGAGGGCCCCCTGTCCTGCAGACTGGCCCTAAATATGGCGAAGTATCACCAACATACATACAAATAGTAACTACACAGAGTGATCATGTAGAAGGAGCAGGTTTGGGGTAGGTAGGATCTTAATGTCCATTTTGTAACTGAAACTGGCAGGTTGCGACACACATCAAGACGATAGACAGCCATGACTCGCATTAGCTGCTACGTGTAATCCACTTACATACTTACATACATTACAATAGATTACACTGGGTTTATACCTACAGGATTCAGGATTTGTTTGTTGTGGAACACCGCACTCAGCAATATTCCAGCTATATGTCGGTGGCCTGTAAATAATCGAGTCTGGACCAGACAATCCAGTGATTGACAGCATGAGCATCGATCCATGCAATTGAGATATGATGACACGCATCAAACATGTCAGCGAGCCTGACTACCTGATCTGTTAGTCGCCTCTTAAAACAAGAATAGTTGCCTTTTACGGCAAACATGGGTTGCTGAAAATCTTGACAGGTCACAGGATTCAGGAATTCAAGAAGTGTGGTGTGGTGTGGTGTGTTGTGTTGTGTTGTGTTGTGGTGTGGTGTGGTGTGGTGTGGGTGTGCTATCAGAAATTGAGGTGAAATGTATTATATTAGATTGAAGTAAGATCTCAGTGGTTGAGATGGACTTCAAAATTTCAGAATGTGATGTATAAAATGTTTATTATACCACGGCTTCAGTCAAGTACCTTGAAGACTACCCCTACCCACACTTTGCCAAAACATAAGTCTCATTCACTTTATGAATATGACCAGCAAAATCTCAAACAGTTGATTTAAGTTATATTTCAGACTTAAGTACTTTTTAATGGATACTGCCCCAGGATCTGAAGTTTAAGGTGTCAGATTTAAAACATCAAAGTTTGAAATAGCAGTTCCAATATTTGAGTTGAGAAAATTAATGTAAGCAAACACAAACAGGATACTCAAGCACTAAACATCTTCACACAAACAATCAGAAACGTTACAGAGATATGACATAAAATTATCCAAAAAAAGAAACACACAAACTGCAGTATTATTTGAGCACTATCACAGACACATGCACCCATCAGATCTATGGTAAAGTGTAGCAAATGCCAAACATGAGTGGTCATGATAATAAGAGAGAAAATAAACAAACACTGTGGAAAGATAAACATAACATCATTATGTACAACACCACATACAGCGGCCATGTTGGAAAGTCAATATAGCAACAAAGGCCAAAATTGAAAATTCAAGTCCAACATTGAGAATTGAAATAATAAATCTTCTAAATAGCATGTTTCCACAAAAAAGTCAACCTCATTTTTTGGTTGTGTCATATACAAAACTGATAGCAAAGGTCAGAATAGACAGATCCAGAGGGGGTTCCAGGGTGTCTAGACCCCATCTTTTGAAAACCAAATGTAGTATGGTGTAGGCAATAATATTATCCGAGAGAAGATTTTGATATTTTGGACCCCTCCCTCTTAAAAATATTGGATCTGCCCTTGGTCAGAAAAAGGTCCTTGGAGATCCTGACGCCGAAATGGGAAATCTATTAATCTTTGAATAAATTCTGGAAGAGCCAAAACCAGGTATTTACTGAGAACCTGGTCTGCAATTGCATTAAATTTGTTCTAGATTTTATTTTAAATATTTCTTCTTGACATTTCACAAATTTCAAGGGAATAAAGTTTGACCTAGCATTTATTCATGGACACTGCTATATTCAAGGTGAGCATTTATTTAAGAATTTAGAGTAATCAATATCATTTCGGGATATCCCAGTGATAATTTAACCACAAGACATCTCTAATACATTATGCCACTGGATCGGATGAGGTACTAGTACATAACACTTCAGGTAATTCTTGGAGTGTCGACAAAAAATAATTAGTACGAACTGTATAAAATAAACACAATATCTAAAAAAAGAGAGAGCAAGGACTCGAATATAAAATAACTATTATGGCCAAAGATTGGTTGTCAGGCTAGATAAACACAACAAAAATAACATTATGGCTAGTGGCATGTCAACATGAAATTCAAAAAATAAATAACAGGTGTTTGGAAATATATAACTGTTGTGTCGTGAGCCAACTCACCGACTTGTTAAAGGATTGAAAGAACAGGGTACCGTAATATTTGTGAACATCACATGGATCATAAGGCTTTATAAGGCAACAATGTATGACCTCCATCAACACACAACATTCAAACAACATCATCCACAGAATCTCTTTCATGTTTTCTACATTCAAAACTGAATTTCTATACAAATAAAGTCATACAATCATTCTCAGCTTGTAAATGCCACGCTGTAATGCATTCAAAAACTGGCCCTAAAAGAAAATTAAAATGTATTCAGCATTTAGTAAACAAATCTACCAAAACTAAACAAATATTTTATAGGTTTTTAAATATGTTATCTTATTGCTGTCATATCCTACATATTGATATTAATATCATCATATAAAAAACGATTCAAACACATCCTGAACTGAGCTCTAAAATACTTCTGGAAAAATGGTCTCAATATTGTACATTTTCATAATGTGACCCTCATATGCAAGATCTTGTACATTATAGGCACTGGGTTTTTGAAAGGTACAATACGAAGATCCTGACTGAAATCTTAAAATGCATGTTGCTGGGCGTTTATTTTTATTATTGTAATTATTGTTGTATGAACTTCAGTATGTCTGTCTCCTTGAGGCTAAGGCTGTCTGGTATATGGTCTCTACCAAACAGAGGGAGTGTTTTCCTGTGACCATGGTGCTGATAAATGCTGTGGTTGTCTCCAATCTCATTAAAATCAGATCTTAGTTTTTGCTACTGCTAAACAAAGATCTGAGGACATCCCATTATGGGTCACGTCAGAACGAACTTTCGCGAATTTTGACCGACTAATGAAATGACTGACAAGAAATCGACATTAGCTAATCAGAAGGCAGCTTTCTCGAGCTTTACAACACTAGTTTCAAACTGGCGACTACGCTTCGAAACATATTTTGTCGTATTCTCGATTAAAGAAATTAAAACTGATAAGAAGAACATTCTGGAATTTCTTATAGATGGCCTAGATTGTATGGATATAATCATAAAACCCGTAACTGTCGTTCGGAATACCCTGTGTTAAATATTTCTTGGTTGCATGATTAGAAAACACATTCCGAATGTCACTTTCATGATCTGGTAAGCGACGCTCTGATTGGTTGGATGAAAGGTCGTTCTGACGTGACCCTTAATGGGATGTCCTCAGATCTTTGTTTAGCGGTAGCGAGAACAAAGGTCTGGTTTTAATGAGATTGTGGTTGTCTCCAGCCACAACATGTTGCCCTGATCCCTGGTCCATGGTCCGCTTTCAGGTGGGTGTGATCAGCTGAGGTCCAGCAGGGTTCCCATGACAACATGTTCCCGCGTGCCCATCAATACATCATCAAACTGGTTCCCTGTGCATGAATCAGTACAATCCTGACCTGCAGAGGAAATGTAAAGTATGTTTATGAAAAGTAATTTACATATTTACTAAAGAGATGGATATTTCAGATTCCCCAAAACTTCACCAGTCTTCTATCTCAACTGATATCATAACACACTGGGACAATACGCAGTCCTTGAAAAGTGACACTTTGGATACAGTTGTGAATTTCTTTGCATGTGAAAGGTAAATATTTGAACATCCTTGCTTGTAACTCTGGAATGATAACATCCGAATCCCCCAAGCAAGTCTAGATTTCTCCAGTTTCTGAGAATCGCTTTCTTCGGACTCCTTTCTATAACATATTTGAGGACAATTTAACCAAACACATTGTAATCTTTTTTTATTTGAGAGACATAATGCTACACTACTGGCCATCATACCCAGGTGTTTCCAGAGGAAGCCCAGAGTTCCACAGCGGATGATGTCCATGGCGACATGTGGAGTGAGCTTGTTCCGCAGATTAAACAGGCGACCCATTGCCTTGTTGGTGAGGAACTGGAAGTCTGAGACACTCTGATGGCATGTACCCCTGCGGGACACATGATAGCATTGTAAATATACACTGTCAATTGCGAATACTCTGTCTAGATTATCTGCCGAAACAGATTCCATTTGACAGAAGGGGCAAAATAGCTGTGAAAATTATATGAATGGACCACTGAAAATCAGTGATGACACCAGGTGTTCATGAAAATGGCAGACATGTCCTGCCCTTACGGTAGCACCCGCCATTCACAAGTTAAATTAATAAATCCAGTATTAAAAAAATAAATTCAGAAATACATACCAATCAGGACAAATAAATGTGAGATTTAAAAGACAGAACCTGTTGAATCTGCTCTGTGTCATGTTCTTTGCTCAATGTGACATGCTACACTCCATGTGACCTGCTATGGTCACTATGACACATGATTTTACCTGCTAAACCCCCAATACCCAAAACACTCTATAACCCACCATGTGACCTACTACTCTGTGTGACCTTGACCTCTATGTGATGTGTGGCCCTCAATGTGACCTGCTACAATGTGACCCTTGACCTTTACATCTGTGACCCTCTGAGACCACTGACTGTGTATGTGACCTTGACCTTCTATTCCACACATGAACCTCAACCCTCTAAAGTCACACATTACCCTCTATGTAAGCTGCTGTTCTGCTCTCTATGCAACCCATTATACACTAGATGTGACCTGTTACCCTCAATGTGACCCTTGACCCTCCACATGACCTGGTAAACTCTATGTGACTTATTACTCTCAAGTCATTGTATGGCCTTAATTAATGTTGATGCGACATTAAGTTTTGACTCACTCACTATTACTCTCCATGTGACCCATGACCCCTCAAGTACCTGCAAAAGTCAATGCGACATGCTACACATGATGTCACCTGTTACTCTCTATGTGACCTTGAACCTCTAAGTGACCCTTGAACTTCTTTGTGACCTGTTACTCTCTATGTGACCTTGAACCTCTAGGTGACCCTTGAATTTCTATGTGACCTGTTACTGTCTATGTGACCTTGAACTTCTATGCGACCTGCGACACTTACTTTATTGTCAACATCTGCCTCTCCACATTGTCGGCCTTCAGCCTCATCATCTGCTGCACGTTCTTCCTCCACTGGAACGTCTCCATGTTGAGCATCAGGATGGGCTGACTCACGGTCTTGTACACCTTGTCATCTAGGGGGTGCATCCACCCGTCTAACACCACACCAGCTCTGTACACAACACGTTGCAAGGAATAAAGTGGATGGACAAATACATCAAATACACTCAAAAGAAAGCTGGAGTGCCTTTGAATACTGTGCATAGTGGTTCAGGTCATCTTTCAGCAACATCTCAGCAGCAAAGTAGAGATAATTTATGGATAACAACTTCTTTATTTACTGTAAAGGCACCATTTCAGTGTAGATCCTTAAGGCCTTGCTTGACAATGGTATAAGGATCTATACCGAAACCTCGCCTTTACAGTAAATAAAGAAGTTGTTATCCATAAATTATCTCTACTTGTCATCCGTCAACTTCTAAGTAAAGCCTATCAAACAATTTAATCTCAGCAGCAGGCAAATCATGTAAGAAATCTCACATCTAAGTTCTCACTACCGCTAAACAAAGATCTGAGGACATCCCATTACGGGTCACTAAGATCCGATTTGAATGAGATTAGGCATGTAAGCAAATCTCAAGCCGCCTTACCAGCAGCTGATAGCGTGAGCTTCAAGCTCTCAATGGAGTACAGAGTTACACAAATCCAGCCCAGTAATGATGGACGCAGCCCTCCAACATGGCTGCCTATTCGGGCACTATCAACAGGTTTGTCATCTGATACCCTCATGAGATCTTACTGACAAATATTGTATAATGGAGACTCCATGCAGTTTGAACACCAATGGCAACAGATTTAATCTAGTCTCAGTATAATTTCTGTCACAATTGTCCACATGAAGCCATTCAATGTTTCAGCTTCCATCTTTGTTGTGCTCTTCCGTCTTTGTTGTGCTTTGTTAAGCTTTTGTACACACACAAACAAAGGATGACGTACTTAGAGTTTCATCAAGGTAGGAATGAAGACAGGATTCTTTCCTTTTTTGTCAATACAATATTTTGGTACAGATGCTAGTACCTTCATCAAACAAGTGGAGAAAGTTGAAGTCAATTGTGACAGTGCCAATATCAAGGTAGGAGTGTGATCAAGTCAAGCACTTCATTACATGTAAAGCGGTTCATGTTATCCAAGTGAAATGTTTTGTACCAAACAGTTTATGCATAAGGCCTGAAAAAATAAAAGAATTGGTTCTCAGGCAATGACCTTTGAAAATTACACAGTACGAACTGGCGGTAGGTAGGTTGTTTTTTTGCATGTTCAACTAGTATGTAACCAATTTAACAGTTGTGTACCATCAACCTGGGAAAGGGCCTCCCTACATAAACAAGCATACAAACTCCTATTGCCACCATGACCTTAGCACAAGATGCACACTAATGTAGTAATCATGTAAAGGGAAGTAACTGCGTGCTATATTGAATCCCATTTCAGTATTAGAATTTCTTATTTTATTTTGAAAATGGAAATAAAATGTGCGGCACTTTATGATGTTGAGAGCAGTACCTGAGAACCAGGACTATGAGCAAATAAATGAGTTCACAAGCTGCTTACTTAAACCTCTCATCGTCAGACAGTGCACAGACACAGGTGGCGCCACCAAACGAGTGACCGATGATGGAAGCTTGTGTGATGTCCATGGTGTCCTGAAGGAAATACATAATCATTAGTAAAACATTGTAAATCAGTAGTAAAACATTTGTAAAACATTTGTAAATCACCCAGGAACATATATAGGTGTTGCCAAATCATGCTAGTTACAACCAAATCATTCAAAAAGTGACTGACGGACTGAATGTTGTTCTACACCACAGTCAACAATATACAGTCAAGTCTCGTTAATCCGACATCGTTGGTTGCACATGATTGTGTCGGATTAACGAGTATGTCGGATTAACGAAATTAAGTGATTTGTGATCGAAAATCGGACGTCTTCGCGACAGATAATAAGTGTGTGCCTTGTAATAAAATCATTAAAAACGAAATATTTATATTATAATGTTGTTTATTCATTCATTCCTTAATTTATAATCAATGACAGTGCAACAACACACGTTTCCTCGTGTAAATGCAAGTGCTACTGTCTTAACAACTTGCTTCATCAAATGACCACGGAGTACGATGACCAGTGTCGGATTAACGAGACTGATTAATGAGTGATTTCGGTAATTCGTTGCAAATTAGGTGTGTCGGAGTCGGAGTGCAAGAATGTCGGATTAACGGGGCTAAATAGCACTGAATCAATCGATTCCCATCATTTGTGTCGGATAAAGCCGAGTGTCGGATTAACGAGTGTCGGATTAACGAGACTTGACTATATCAGGTATATCACTGCTAGGAATACACAATGCCATTTAGAAAGTGGTCAAATGTAACACTTTCTTAGAAAAGTACAGATTCTAGTACTTTAGGGGGTTGAGTCCCGTCCGTCCATACTCAACCCCAAAAAGTACTAGAATCTGTACTTAACTAAGAAAGTGTTAACCCAAACATAACATTTGTCATTTATCACTGCTGTCTGTAAATAATCGAGTCTGGATCATAGCATGGCCATTTGAAATGTGTATATCTATCAAAATAATTACATCTATAGCTGCTTAGATCTGCATCACTTCAGCAAGATATTATCGAAAAAATGTGAATCAGTTAATCCATGTATCAATTTATTAGTCCATCCCTGTGAATCATGTTGGTTGACCAAGGTGATTGTAGAAGCACAGTACTGAATCATTCAACTACAGTGAGTGAGTGAGTGAGTGAGTTGGGTTTAACGCTGCTTTTAACAGTATTCCAGTTACATCACGACGTGTCAGCTTATGTGGGAGAAAAGCCCGAAGTGATGAAGGTCTCAGATGTTTACCACTTCGGTGAAACCCACGAGCACGGGTATGGTGCTGACAAACCTAGAAACATAATCGGGACGAGCCGGGATTTAAACCCATGGGACGCAACTCTGCACAGCGAATCGCAGCGCCTTAGACGACTGGGCCACCCGTCCCCCCTAATTCAACCACAACTCACCATACTTAAACCTCCTTATATCAACAGCAGACAATATTTTCAAAAGATCATCTTTAGATTTTGTGTTCATCTTCTAGTGTATCAAATGTCAAACAGCCATATGGTTTTCAAAATAAAAAATAATTTTAAACCATTTCATGAATATTTAAGAAAATATTTGGCACAGGACTCTGGAATCTCAGCAGTCAACCTGTAAATATTTCCTTACCCCCTTCTTATGTATGCATGTATACCCAGGATACAGTAAGACAGTGTATTGATTTCAGCAATCAGAGCACATATAGTACAATGTGCAATAATGTGTCACACAATATGCTATTGATCAGGTATCAATAAGGACTACAATACTCTCCTATTTCACCCATACTGTGTGTTAAGATACTTGGCTCCGGGATCAATACTTCTGCCTCTTTATAACACACAGGCTCTTTCACTTTACCTAATGAGCTGTGTGTCTCACAATGACATTAACATAAGAAATAGGGCTGATTACTCTTTCATGGAAATTTTTTTTTGGGAAATATCGTTTTATGGTCTTGACATTGTCAACTACACAGCTCCACCTTAGATTTGATATGTGAAGATTTGCAAAGGTATTAGGTTAATATCGCCTTTTATTAGTATTCAGAAAGATTTTTTGTAGTCATTGAGTTTAAAAGGCATTTAGAAGTGATACACAAAAGGGTGAGAATTTATGGATGTCAACTTCAGTATTATGAGGAACACAATGTTTTGGAGTATATACTTACTCCTTCATTCACTTGGTAAAGGAGTAAGTATATACTCCAAAATGTGAATATACACCTGATGAAGGAGTAAGTATATACTCCGACACATGAATATTCACCTGATGAAGGAGTAAGTATATACTCCGACACATGAATATTCACCTGATGAAGGAGTAAGTATATACTCCGACACATGAATATTCACCTGATGAAGGAGTAAGTATATACTCGGACACATGAATATTCACCTGATGAAGGAGTAAGTATATACTCCGAAACGTTTTGTTCCTCATAATAAAAAAGCTGACATCCATAAATTCTCTTTCTTATTTTTCATATATCAGTTGAAACATTTACCATATTTCTGTAGACATATGTTGATTGTGTATATTTTTTATCATAACATATTTTCATTCTGTTTGGGGATCATTTCGCAGATCAAATTGATCAATGAAGATCTTTTTAATTCTTTTCTTCAATGTTCAAAATATGGAAACTGGAAGCCAATCTGTAAACATGGTAAACCAAATTGAAATAGGCAGGCTCCCTATAAAACATTAGAAGTTTCTGGTGCATTCTAATATTGACCTTGAAGTGACTTGTATTGATGATAATTCCCAGGGAGTTGTACAGCGGTTTGCCATCATTCAGATCCTTGAGGATGTCCAAAACACGGCTACACTCTCTAGCTCTTTGGTGAACCTGTAATATTGAAATAACATGTCGCTGGTACATCCAAACTGGCTGATCATTCCACATTATCAGGGTTATTTTACTACTTGACATTCTGAAATCACACAATATATTCCGAATTTCTTGTTTTCAGTCTACCAGGCCGAACCGACTCCGACTCCTTCATTCAAATATTACCCAAGTGCTCAAAAACTCTTGCATGTAATATTTAAATCAGGTTCAAGAAAATTTCATGAAATCAAATCTCAAAATATATATTAAAAGAAGGATCTATGTTGAACATAAACTAAATGTCACTAGAGATATCAAATAGACTTCTTCTCATCTGCGTCTCTTAAAATGTTAAATAACATGACTTTATATACTACTCTAAAGAAGTTAAAAAACAACTGATTTTGTTCATATGACTATAGTTAATCTGTCATGGCTATGGGTATTGCAATACGCAACCTCCATTTGTAGGTGTACTTTAACTTTAGTAGAAACATTTCTGTCACTCAATTAATCTAAATAACTTTTCTTTTCTTTTTCACCATGTATTGCTATATTTCTAAAGCACATCAAAACCAACCCTGAGGTCAATCTATACCTCACATTATTCTATTACAAAATACTACAGTTTCTGTAAGTAAACTTAAGTGGTACTATTAGGTTACAACTAGCTACTTATCAATCAAAAGATCGGCATATTTGTTGATCAGATTACCACAAGATGGAACATGAAACTAAGGCTGATGCTGTCTGTTTAGATGCCTGGTTGTGGTGTGGATTATGTGAAGTTTCCAAGTAGCTTTTGTCCACGTGAGGTATTGTGACAGCACTAATTGAAATGATTAAAGGTAGTCATATGGTAAGCATGATCTTGTAGTCACCTGTCAACCTCCGAACTGAGTATGATTAGGATAATTAACTCCTAACACATACCTTGCAACACCTTACACAGCTAGTTGTTGCTAATCATTGTAATTTGTACAAATGACCCCTTCTGACGAGGTCTTTATTATCAAAACATTATCACATGATTAGGCTATCTCACATATATGCTGTCATTAACGTTCTGGTAGAAATCTCTATTAACCTGTTTGTTTCTGTAGTTAAAGTCATCCCACTGGATGTGTTTTGGCTTGTCAAAGATTTTCCAGTCCTCGCTGAAGCTGTTGCGATGATGATGGTGACTGTGGTTGTTGTCGTCAACGTGTCGGACGGAGTGACGGAAGCTCTCTCGGAGGCAGAGAGTCATGGAAGCGGATCCATCCCTGCAAAATAATTTGTTTTTTAAATTCAACACAATCCAGAAAACCTTCTTAATGTAAAATAGGGACAGACCTCATGCACTTGTCCAAACTCATTTCTGTTTATTTTTATGTTATATGCAAAATAACTCCATTATGGAAGAAAAAAAGTAGTTTCTTCACACTGACACTAGTCTTGAGACCATCAGACTAGTACAGTCTCTAACCTTGAAAATAAACTTAAATACCCTCAAAATATATTTGTCACCTTTTACCTTATTCATTTACCCTTGGATATTTGTCAATACCCTGATCCATTTTCGTCTACCAGACCATTGATTAAAGTGTGTAAGGGATCAGGTGGTCAAAGGGCTATTATGACTTAGACTGCACACAACTCAATCAGATAGTTTCAGCTGAGCCTGTGTGTCCTGGTACCCGACAGTGTAATAATCAATGTTCACAATCAGTAACAGGCCAACCCACTCCAGACCTGAGTGACCCTGACAAGGCCATGTTGACTACACCTTGGCTTTAGTAACGCCCGTCTGCCTGCCAATCCCAAACTGATAACTACCCGGTATTTCGTATTGATTTGTTTGTCTTACTAGGAAGGGGTGGTCGGGTAGCCTAGTGGTTAAAGCGTTCGCTCGTCATGCCGAAAAACCCGGGTTCAATTCCCGACATGGGTACAAGGTGTGAAGCCCATTTCTGGTGTCCCCCGGCCGCCGTGATATTGCTGGAATATTGCTAAAAGCGGCGTAAAATCAAACTCACTCACTCACTCTTACTAGGAAATCGATTATATATATTTAATTGATTTTAGGGTCATAACAAAGGTTTGAATAATGGTCAGTAGAGTACAATAAAAAAATATTTTTAGAATTAATTAAGAATATAGGTCGAAAATGTTAACGTAAATGCTTTTATATTTTTCTCCAAAAGTCATTAATTAAAAGTTCTAACAACTTAGCAAATCTTATAAGCACATTTTGAAAACAAAACAAGCACTATATTTCATAAATGTGCTTTTACATAACAACCTTGATATCATGCTGATGCAGAAAAGACAAAGAAGTGTCAGGTCCACATTTGAAGAAGAGGGTTTCAATATGTCCATCATTACTTCAAGTTTGGGAGCATACAATCCCCTCTACTTGGTAGAGCAGTGCTAATCCTACAGAGACTCCATCTGTATGCTACAGTCAAGTACATGAAGCTTCTTGACTCCTGTAGCAAGTCCTTGAGTGATCATTGACACTAATGTAGCGACACAGGCTTCTCATCAGCACTTTAACCTCTGCTCCACCAATTCGTTCTCACCTCCTCCTGTGTCACAGATCTACGTTTGCTCTATTACACAATGCACGACCATGCTCATCCAGGTGGCAGTTCAACCGGTGTCGTCAGAACGGAAATGGTGTTGTCTTTAAAACTAACAGGTTCCTTTGGGTCTGTTAAGACCAAACTAGACCCTTTGTTTAGCCAATTATGTTGAGGCCCTAACAGGATCCTTGTAGCTCTGACCAACCAAGGACCTTCCCCAACATCTGTGCAACACTGGGCCTATGACAGACCTCACTAGAGACCCTTAGTCTCTGAAAATATATAACCTTGACAGAAAAACAACTCCATTTAAATTGAAATGGAGCCTCAGTGTGATGGGTGATTCCCTCAAAACTGTGGAAAATCTAGACTTGCTTCATTCAGAGCTATTACAGTAAGGACTCGGTGGAAGGGAGACTAGACTAGTCCCCCCACCCCAACATCTGTACACCACTGGGCCCATCTAGTTCTGTTTAGTTCTATTCTGTTGACTCCCTTAACTTAGCATGCATACTGCTACTCCAATTCGAGCTCCTATACTTCATTCTATAAGTCAAACATATTTCCAGTCTTTCACCTAACCTTGCTCCAAGTCTGTACTGACTGATAAAGTTCATTGACATAATTCTATATAGATAGTAATTATATCTTTACAACAGGCAAGCCTAAATAAGCCAGTCTTTTATAAGGACAATTTGTTCTTATTAATTATATAATCTAGATATTGTGATTAAAACTTATAATCATTGCCTTAGAGACTTGTGCAAGTCTATCTTTTACCTGACACTAACAGGCACACTTGTTTCCTCCGGTCTACCATTATAAGATTGTGCCCTCCTAAGATCGGAGTAACCTGTCAAGTTGTATCAAAGTAAAGTCTGTGTAAGACATGTTTATGTAGTTGCACCGGACTGCCCCCTTCTACTGCCCCCTTCTACGTGTGTTGTCTGTCCAGTTGAATCAAGGGACTAATTAGATCAAACATTTGAAGACAGACTTGATTAACAGGTTTCCCCTCCTTCAACACATTCAACAGATTCCCCATTTCACTTGGTGATGATAAAAAACAGGACTTTCTTGAGTAGCTGATTAAAGATTGACAACATTCAGTTCCAGTTTTCCTACGCTTGTGATATGGGAGATGTGTTGCCCTAACGATTCCAGGCAGGAATCTGTGAACCCCCCCCCCCTCCCCAGCCTGAAAGTTTTTAAATATATGATTGCATTTTAAGCAATTTAGTGCAGTTTGCACAACATTCACACCAAGAAATGTAACAAGTCAATGGCAAAAGTCAATAAGTCAAATAAACAAAGATGGCGGATGCAGTAAAATTTCGAAGTTAAATCAGTACTTTTAAAAAATCCGGCATAGCTGCTGTGCAGGTCTGGGAGCAATACTGCCATAAACTTCACCCCCCATCCCCCAGACACAAGGACAACTGTCACAAGCGTGCAATGTCTCACCCTTTCCCCATGTTGATGCATATTGAAAAAAAAATACCTTGTACTTACTTACCGTTTGTTGAAAAAAAACCAACCCATTGCGACCATAAGATATTAATACAATATATATCCCCGTGTTATGGGTTGTCTGACGCCGAAGAAACATTCATAGTTTTCTCATTTATTTATAGGCTAAAAGACAACTTTATCTTAAAAACAAGCCATCATCTGATTATTTACAATTTCAGTGTGATGCCACACCCCACGTTATAGTGCAAGTATTCGTGATAGAAAACGTATGATGTCTGAAAACCTATGATGCTGAAAGCTCTGATCGAAAACAGGACAATCCTCAACGGTTTTCGATAACATTTTTCGGAGTGTTTTTTAAAAAATCTGATTAAATTTTTACGCTGAAGAGGATTTTTTTCCAAGGACTACTGTTTTAAAAGTATAATCGACTGCATTTGGCCGAGATTTCTTATGAATATGGGAAGTGTTTTGTTGTTTTTATTTCTAATTCATAATTCAGTTTGACAATTGGCAAATATAGCAGCCCACAAAACAAGCCAAGATTAAAGGTACATGACACCCCACAACATCAACATGGATGATTTCCTGATCATTTATTGGTAACTGACGGCAACAGGAAATGGTCCGTCTGAACCTATTAATTTCTTTTATGTCTATCAATGCCATAGTATGTTAACACAATATATGTATAGCAGATGGCTGTGTTGTCAATATCTTTCCTCATTTGGCAACCAACCTGTTAACAGCCTTATCATTTGGTTGTCAACAGCAACAATGTAAACATTTACTGATGGGTCATTAGGTGAGCATTTTGGAGTGTTTCCATATTTGGACTTTGACTTCAGGTGTTTGTACTAAAGGGAACACTCAGTGGGGTTCTAATAATTAACTCATTCTCAATGCAATAAATTTGCTGACTGTACAGAATCATGAAAAGAAGAATTTCTTTTGTGCTCACAGTCTACTGCTTTTGAAATGGTCATTCTATCAATTCAAGGCCATTGAATCCTGAGGTGGTATCAATGGGGCGTGACTGTTTACTGTTTGTATGGCGTTGCCAAAATACCACCTGTCCTTGTGATATATGTCCTATCTGAATTTGTGGATCCTACGTAACATTTGAATAGGAGGCATCTGAAAAAAGAATATTACATCTGTTCCTAAGGGAGACATTTATGGAGACACGGCCATATATGTCACTCATATATCGCTTTTGAATATTTCTTGGATCAGCCAATTACATGACAATTTCGATTTCAGTTACCCGATCACTTACAGAAAACATGATTAATTATTTGGTGGTTGTTTATTGGAGTTAATATGTGTGTTAGAAAAGTTCAAATCTATTTCACTATTGTAGTTATTTTATTTCATTTATTCACCTAAAATTTCTTTGAGAAAAAAATTCAAAAATCACGAATCTTCATCAAACATACATTTTGCATAAAAAAACATAAGGTTGATTAGGTGTAGTGTTCATTTAAACCATGTTAATAGTTAAATCAGGTGAAAGAAAAATACCCAAAAATACTGCAGTACACCAAACGTATCATATCTATACCTGACATACTAATTACCAACAATTTGGTTCACAGACGCTACCGGCCAGCTTTACAGCTGATCTCACATGAGTAAGTGTTTGTGACATATGCATCATTGATGACCCCAGGACACACAGTAAACAATACAGTCAGGGGAAGAGCCCTCACAATCATCTGGGACTTCGTGCTCCCATGCAATGTAGGTCTGTGGGTACTTCATAATTAATGGCCTCATGACACTACATTTCAATGAGAAAAGAGCAAGCTAATAAACTAGACAAGGAACAAGAGATTGACAACAAACACCAGACAGACATTGATATTTGTGTGTCTTCACTTGACACAAGTCAAACAACTTGAACCCTTATCTACATTCTCTTTGAGATTGTTCACTAACTTATTGTTGAAGTCTTACAACGATTTCATCAGATAAGAGTGAGTGAGTCTGGGTTAACGCCACTTTGAGTATTCCAGTTGTATCACAGCGTGTCAGCTTAATGTGGGAGGAAAGCTTGAAGTGATGCACGTTGGTGACACCAGCATAGGTATGATAGTGACAAACCTAGAAACATAACCATGGGATACTGGAATTCAAACCAGATCCTAGGTTTCTGGGATGCCCAAGGGATACAACTCTACACAGCGAATGTCCAACAAGTGCCCACTGATCAGATAAGAACG